CTATAATTATACAATTTAGTTAGCGATTCCACGGCTTAACAAAAAACACGTAATTTTCATAAACTTTGCTCTCATATCTTTTTGTATGGTTAAGCAAGCGCCTTGAGGATTTTTGCATCAGTTAGTCTTACTCAATCTTTTTCCAACCATAGTTGTAAAAAGTACTAAGTTTTGTATGGCTTCATTTATATATTGTCCATATCTTAAGACCACTTTTCGTAAAAAAACTTGCCGCGGGAACGTTTTTTTAAAACGAAGCTTTTAAAGGTATGGATTCCTTAGCACTTAAACACATCTGTTTTTTATGAAACTTTCAATATTTATTAAGAAAAGGACAAGGAATCTATTGCAATCTGGACGCTTTTTAACTTTTATGCAAAAAATTTTAGTTCTCAGCGTTTAAAAACTTCAAGGTTGATTTATATGAAAAAAAAAGTGTTTTTGAAAAACGACCAGGTGGAAATGGCAAGTTTAGCCTTTCTTCTATTTAAAACAAGTATTTATTTAAGTTTTCCTTAAGAATTGGTACTAAGGAATTGCATATATAAATTATGTGTATATATATGCTTTTCTTCGCGTATTTTATGACGTTATTTGTTTTTGTTTTTGCGTTTGTTTTGGTCAAATTATGTAAATTAAACTAAAAGTGAAAGTATAACTTTTAAAATTTTAATGAAATGAAAATATATATTTTACTTCTTCCCAGGTATAAGCTCTGTATTGTGCAAGAAAGTTAAAAGCTTGATTTTCACTATTTTAACTACAGGTTGTCCTTATTTAAACTGTTTTTTTCAAAACAAAAACCTGAAAATTTGAACTAAAGCTCACGAAAATGGACTTGAGTAAGAAATTCTTTATTTCTTTTTACATTTATTTATCTATTTTTGTTTGTTGGTTAAAGTATTATGAACTCTAGTAATACTTACTTACATTACATTTGCTTAAATTATTTTTTACATCCTTGTTTTAGTTTCCTATATCTAGAATTATGCTTATCAAGTGCCTAAAAAAGTCACAAGATTTCATTGCAAAATTAAATCGTGCCAAAAATTTTGATTTAACAAAGTATTTTTTAAGCTCTGTTTTCTCTTTGAATATTGCATTTAATGATGTTGTTGGTTTGTTACCTTCTGATAATAGGTCTACCCCTACTTCTACCCACTCTAATGAAATTGTTCCAAATCAAGTTACTGATTTTGTATTTTCTGATGTAAACATGCATATTGCTAATGATAATTATTTGTGCTTTGTTACTCCAAATTCTATTGTACACATCCCTTTAGGTAATGGTTCTGATAATTTTCTAGTTGAAACACAAGTCAATGAAGAGAATCTTCCAGTTTCAAGTCACAACATCATCTGGTAGCTACACGTTTGGGATAGAAGATATGTTTTCGGGAGAGGCACAATCTTATTTTGGAGAGCTAAAAAACATACTCACTGATATGTCTAAGATATTTTCTCCTGAGAAGGAAAACTACGAGAATGATCTTAGGAAACTCATTTTTTCTTTCAAATCTTTGATGACAGATCGCACTATTGTTAATTCAAGTTTTTTTCACCAATTTAAAAATTGGAGAGAAGCAATTTTGCCTTTTGTTGTTGAAAACTATGATCAGCTTCCTTTAAATGAAAAATTAAAAATTTCTCAAATGCATCATGTTTTTTGTGGCTTACACGTTATCCACAATCTAGGAATATATGCAAAAAAAAGCAATAATAGAATGGGAAAAAGTAGTTGAGCAGGAAGGAGTATTCATGGTGATTTTAAAAGTTCTCAAAACTCTCGCACCTTTGATATTTTGTATGAACTTTCGAAACTTACAAGCTATTGGCATGGTGATCAGCGAAATGGAAAAGCTGATGAATGGAAGGCATTTTTGCGTAAAAAGTTTTCAAAAAATTTTATGGTTTTTATTTCTGCATCATCGCTTTAATATTATATTTGTACTTGGTGGAGTAACGTATTATCATAAAGACCACCTTAAAGAATTTGTTTTCAATCTTGGTGGTTTAAATTTTCTTCATGAGTCGATTAGACATGATATTGACAACATCATTTTTCATGCTTCAACTAGAGCTCTGGGAATTTTTAATAAATTGATATCAGGACCTCTTTTTCGTATTATTGAAGAGGAGGGTCATATTTTCTCTTTAAATACCATTTGGTCGTAAATGTTCAATTATTTTGTTTCTTGTTCTTCTGATGCATCAAAAATGTTAAGTGGTTTTACATTTTTTGATGTAAAATATCTCACCAAGGATGAAGTGTTTGATCATTTATTTTCTAATTGTAATGACCCACTTTTGGATGCCTTAACACAAGAATGTTTTGAAGTTATATGTTGCACATATTCGGTTATGATTCAGAGTCAGTTAAGAGACCAATTGCCTGGAGGAAAATATCACAATCGGGGTGATGATGTGCTTGAAGAAACTCAAAACTGTCCACGTACTAATGTTGTGTCTGAACGTGACTTTGCTTCCTATGACCGCAGGTTAAAAATGAAACCTAGCATGACAACAGTAGCTGCAGCTGGTGTCATCATGTTTAACAACAACAAAACAGCTGATTGAATAGATGGAAAATCGCAGGAAGAAATTGAAAGGCTAGTTTTATTAGCAAGGCGAAATAGAAAAGGGTATTTCAGAAAGTACATAGAGAAAAAAGCAAATATATTGCAGTACAAAATTGATGAGATGGACAAGCGCAACTTAGAAAAGGAAATAAAGGAACAAAAGGCAAGCGAAGAGAATGAGTTTTGGACAACAGAAATTGGAAAGGATGGTGGTTTAATTTTGTGTGAAGAGGATTTTAAAAAAATTTTAGGAACTGAAAATGAAATTGTAATGAAGTTGCAAAGACAAATTAAATTTCGAAAAAAAGTATTATAGCAAAAATTTCCAGAAAAGTGGTTACAATTAGGAGAAAAGGCAAAAGGGGAGTATTACAAAAAATTTGGTATTGATAATTTAAAAACCAATCTAATATCAATTTTTAAATTTTTAAAAGACGTTCCTGAACAACGCGCAACTGCAATAAAATCTTACGTTTTCAGACAAATTAATGAAAGACAAGAAATGTTGTTAACATTAAAAAAAAAAAGTCAGATTAGAGGGTGACGCTAGGTTAATTATGGAAACTGGAAGTATAATAAGAACAGGCACATCAAAGGAAGGGGTTCCAAAAAAAAGAATAAAACATAAAATGGTAGATAATGATGGCAAGGATGTATGGTATTCAGGGCTCGTGGTTAGTGTTCTAGACGACAATGAATTTGATGAAGAGTGTGAGTTTCAGATACTATATGATGGATATGAAGATAAGTATGGCATTGAGTTGGTCAAAGAGTGGAGGATGAAATGTGTTGTGGTAGAGGGAAAAGCTGATGGTTATGTGGAGGGCGAAGTTTGTAAAAAACAAAAATGCAGTTATTATCATTTTTGACACAATGGGGATTTAATTTATTGTATTTATGTTTGTTATTATTCTTCTTATTAATAATATGATTGTTATTATTATTTTTATAATCATTCAACTTAATGTGTTCTTGTTTGTGTTCTGTTTGGTCATCTCGAGCGGTGTTGGCGCAACGACAATTCGTAAGTCATGCTTTCCATTTTTGTGCTGGCATACTTGTCAATATATGTATCCTTGTGTTTACATTTTTTGTGTTTGCATGTATGTTTTTGTAGGTGTGTCTGCAATTATTTGCATGTTTGTTTTTACTCAGTTGTTAGTCACTATATGCATGTTTGTGTTTATGTACCTGTTACTCATTATGTGTATGTTCGTGTTCTGTCAGACCTCTGGAAGCGGTGTTGACACACTCGTAAGTCACTATATGTATGTTTGTGTTTATATATCTGTTACTCATGTGTATGTTTGTGTTCTTTTGGACCTATGGAGCGGTGTTAACGCACCCGTAAGTTACTATATGTATGTTTGTGTTTATGTACCTATCAGTCATTATGTGTATGTGTGTGTTCTGTTGGACCTCTGGAGCGGTGCTGACCCACCCGTAAGTCATTATATGCATGTTTGTATTTATGTAGTCATTAGTCATTATGTGTATCTTTGTGTTTATCTACCTGTAAGTCATTATATGTATCTTACTCTTCTGTTGGAACTGTGGAATGACAGTAAGTCATTGTATGTATACTTGTGAGTTGTTCCAACTAGGCTGCAAGCAATCATTGTAGGAGTTGAAAGTTACTGGAGGAGAAAAGATGAAGTTTGTAGAGTAAGATAACAATTGACAGATGACTTAAAAGATTACAAATTATAAAGGAAGCGAATTTCAAAGAACTGATGTTCGAGAAAAAAAATAGAAGAATAAGAGTTTTTTGAGCACTTAGAAACAGTCACAAGAGAATGAATTTTATTAGATAAACAAGGGACGCTAGCTCTTTAGAGCAGTGCCCATATTTGTAGAAAAGAGAAAGAGGAGCACCATTACAACGATGTGATAATGGTTGGAAGTTTACAATGCATTTTTGCTCCTTGTCTAAAAGAGAAAGGGCATCATTAGAATATCTGCCCCAGCGTTTTTTGCAGCGTTTAGTGCCACAGGGTCTGTGTGTTTTGTGATTGTGATGTTATTGTTGTGATGTTTTGTGTTGATAGACAACTTGGCTAACCTTCTCGCTGGTGTCTATCGTTAAAAATGATTATTAGGTTGTTTCGTTACTGAAACTACTTCTAATCATTCACTAAAAGCCAAGAGATAAATTTTAGACTAACAATATTTTTTGTTTTAATGTTGTTTTCATTTTTTCATCTTAGGTGTTGTCGATAGTTCACAAATCTCAAAAGATAAGATTTTTTATCTTAGTTTATATTTATTTAGTTTTAATTGTTAATTTATAACTAATTATAATTTAAAATGAATTAAAAATTTTTTTTTAAATTATTGTGTATCTGATGTTATTTGATGTATTATTGTATGTATTTAGATGTATTGTTTTTAATGATAATTTTATTACAATTTTAGGTAGAGTTCTGCTGTTACACCTACAATTACTGTTGTAAGTACTCAAAATTTCAGGAAGTTCTGTTGCTGTAAGTTATTTTCATTCAAATTTAAATTTTAGTTTTATTAAAGAATCTTCTGTCTGTTAAATAGGTAATTCTGAATGATTTATTTAAACGCAGTGATTTACTAATCGGTTTGTAAATTAAGCAATAGTTTTAAACAGATGAATTAATTGGATTCCACGATCCTTTATGCATATAGCATGTAGTTTTTAAAATATAACCTGAATTTTTTTCTTTTTTTTCTAAAAGATTTAAATCTAAATTTATTTTTAAAAGACTAGGTAAATAAATAAAAACACTTCAGTCTGTAAAATTAACAATTCTGGATAATTTTGACAGATGCAAAAAAAATTATGGCATTTAATTTTCTTATAGTTATGTATCTCTATCAAAAATTTTAAGTCAAATGTAATAACAATTGGAAATTATCAAATATATTAAAAGTAATATTGCCCAATTGGTCTGTGCAACCGTATACCTGTGTAATTTACTGACCGGTCTGTACATTGTGCTATAATTTCAAAATGATGTATTTTTTTTAGATTCCATGATTCTTTTATGCATATTTCCATATTGTAACCCTAATTTTTGTTTATCATTAAATTATTATATAACTAAAAACACTTCAGTCTGTAAAATAGACAACTCTGTATGATCCCAAAAGATTCAATAAAAACTGGATCACTATTTAAAATTTCAAGTCAAATGTAATAACTGTTCAAATATATCAAATATATTTAAGGTCGATATGCCCAATTGGTTAGTGCATCCCTTTTTCTGTAATTTAAAGACCGGTCTGTAATTTATGCAATAATTTTACTGACAGGTCTGAAAATTATGCAATAGTTTTTAAATGATGTATTTTTTGGATTCCATGATTCCTTTATGCATATTTGCATAGTGCAACCATAATTTTTTTCATCATAACACAGTTAAATAAGTAGAAACCCTTCAGTCTGTAAAATAAACAATTCTGGATAATCCCGACATATTTAATAAAAACTGGATCACTATTTAAAATTTCAAGTCAAATGTAATAACGGTTCAAAAATATCAAAAATTTAAAAAAAAAATACAAATTATTTAAAATTTTTTATGTTTAATTTGTTTGAACAGCCCATTTTCAGCAATTTACTGACCGAAAAGTAATATATGTGATTATTTCACTGACCGGTCTGTAAATTACGCAATAGTTTTCAAATATTTTAGTTTTTGGATTCCATGATTCTTTTATGCATATTCACATGGTATAATTATAATATAAAACCCTTCAGCTGTAAAATAGATGATTCTGGACAATCGCTACAAATTTTTAAAAAAAAAATTTTGGTTTTTTATTTTTTTATAGTTTTTTGATCACTATGAAAAATTTCAAGTCAAAAGTAATAACCATTCAAAAGTTATTCAAAAGTCAGTATGACCCTAAAAATGTATAAATTAGTAAAAATTTTTCCTGTAAAATAAATGATTTCTGGTCAATCCTGACAGATTTCAAAAAAAAAAAAATTGGAATTTTATTTTCTTATAGTTAATTGGTCAAGAAAATTTTTTTCTATATTTAGAAAATACAGGGAGGGGGGCAAGTGCCCCCTCTTGCCCCCTTCCCTTGCAGGCCCCTATGATATATATATATATATATATATATATATATATATATATATATATATATATATATATATATATATATATTATATATATATATATATATATATATATTACAAAATTTTAATAAATTTTACTAACAATTTATTAACTTTGATATTTTTACAATATTTTAAATATACTTAAAATATATTTACAATATTTTAAATTTACTTTAGGTTTGTTCAGTCCAGAAGCAATGGAAAATTACAAATCATTAGAGGCTTATAAATACTTTGTTTCGGGATGGGTGCAAACAATATATCATATATGGCTTGATTCTGGTTTTTTTTATTGCTAAGGCTGATGTTTGTCCGTCATACCGAATTAATGATACTCCATATCAACCATAGATTTCTCTGAATAAACATGGTTAAGTTCTTACAGCACATTGCAACTGTATGGCAGGGTAAGATAAAAATGACAATAATAATTTAAGTAATAATAATTTATAATGGCAATACTTATGTGCAAAGTGATTATTATGAGAGACTTAAATATGTATGATACAATCTTTTGTTATAATTTTTATCTATTTATTTTTATTTTGGACTTGAAGAACTTGCTCACATGTTGCTGCAGTCCTTTACAACTTGAAGCAGCTGCTAGACTTGGTATTATATGTCAGACTCCCACAGATTTACCATGTCAGTGGAATCAAAACTTTACTAAAAAAATTGAACCATCCCTAATTTCTAATATAGATTTTTATTCCACTGAAGCTAAAAAAAAGGTTACAAATAAATTTAAACACAATCATTTGGAACCAACTAGCATTGCTAGATTAAACTTTCTTAAAGCAATTAGAAAAATTAATGCAAATGTTGTAAGATTGTCACTTTTTCCTGGCATGAGCAATGCTTTTTTACAATATTCTGAAAATAATGTTACTGTTAAAAAATTACCTAAACAACTTCGTAATTTGTACATGTCACACAGTATTGATTTTGATCATGCAACTTTATTGGCCGAATGCAATAAGATTAAGATATCATTTGTAATTACAACAGATGAAATAATTCTTGAAAGCGTTACCAGAAATCAATCAGCTAGTATAGTTTAAAATGAGCAAGGAGCAGGACGTATAATAGGATCTGTTGCACCTTCTGTGATACATAGCAATATTAGTATTCCAGCAAAGTCAGTAGTATTAAAAAATAACTATGCCAGTATTAAAGAACAACAATGTTCCATCTTTAAAATGGGGTAGAGAGAAAGAAGAAGAAGCACTCATAGATTATCAAAATTCTTCTTTTGATCCTGAATATGTATCTGAATCTTTTTGTTTAAATTCAAAAAATATGCATAATCATTTTGAATTAAAAAAAACTGGTTTAGTTATCAAGCCGTATAAATTTTATTTAGGAGTATCAGCTGATGCTGTAGTTGTTGTGGAACAGGCATAGTTGTGGAACAGGCATAGTTGAAGTTAAGTGTCCATATTCTTTGCGTGAGAAAGGATTACATGACATAATTCTCAGTAATGCTTTTTACTTAACATATGAGAATGGAGAATATGATTTAAAAAAAAAACATGAGTATTACTGTCAAGTACAGCATGAAATTTACGTATGTGATGTAGAATATTGTGATTTTGTTGTGTGGACACTGATTGAGTTTGTTGTTTTAAGAATCTACAAAGATACATTGTTTATAAATAATATAATTAAGAAACAAGAAATATTTTGAAAAAACGTAATATTATCTGAACTTCTTACCAGAAAATTAGAGCTATATATAAAATTATATTAAATATTTAATTTATATTAAATTATATTAAATATTTAATTAGAGTTATATAAACTAATTATTCAATAACGAGTCGGTTCTGTATTTGTAATGGGCCTGAGGATGGAAGCATGGTTGGTTGCAATTGTTGTAATCAATGGTTTCACATTAAATGCCTTAGTTTAAAAAAGCTTCCGACATTTAAAACTTGGTACTGTAAAAAATGTCTAAAAAAGAAAAAAGGTTTATGATTTTTTGTTACTTGGTAACCTCTCTTTTAAAATTTTTGTTTTATAAAGTTATATTCTTAAACTCATATGTATTGAAATAAAAAGTTTTAAGACATAAAAGTGTAAATAAGATTTATAAAAATGTATGAAATACATAATAATATAAAAGTAATAGAAGTCTTTAATTGTAAAGTGTTGTTAAAAGTATATATAAATCCAAGTTAGTGTTACTAGGGAACGTTGTTTGGGTAAAATTTTCTAGCAAGAATAAATATAATGAAATAACTCAAAATAAATTTCCAACATCTTCATAGGAATAGGAAATAAAATTTCCTTTGTAGTACGTACGAAGATGCTGTAAAATTTTGCGATCCTTATCCAAATTTAGGACCTGGTTTATGTCGGAAATGAGTGCCTAAACACTTCCTCTGTATTGAGCCACGGGTGTATATTATTGATTGGTATTAAAACAAATTTTTACGGACAAGATTTCATATTTTCTAAATATCCAATTATAGCAAATGTTTTTTGTTATGGTGTGGTCTTTTTATGGTATATAAATACCCCCAAGCCAACAATGTCGAAAATAAAAGTTCCAAAAAAAGGAGTAAGTGTAATAAAAAAAACGGAGTTTTTTTTCATTAAACTAACATTGTTTAACTATACTAACCTATCTTGAAGCAATGCAAAATTGCAATCATTAAGATTTACTTCAAAATTTTAAACCTTTTCAGCAAATTTAGGACCTTTAGGGATCGTCCATAAAGTATGTACATCGGAGGGTAAGAGGGGTCTGCAAATGACGTATATGAGATGGGAGGGCAGTGGGTCAATTATAAAAGAAAGGAAACACTTAGTTAAAAAAATATCAACAAAAAAAATGTTAGATAAATAGGTTAAAAGCGTAGGTACTTTTAGGGAGGTGGAGGTTACTTAAAAAAGCGTTTTACAAAATGCGGGGGAAGGGGGTGGACGAAAAAAAAACGTACGTACTTTATGGACAACCACTTATTTATTTCGCTCATCGGTTACCAATAGTTGCAACCGTTATAAGTGGACAGTCGATAACTTTTCACCATGTGATATAGTTTTTCAGTATTATTACTTTTTTACAAATTATAAATAAGAAAATAAACAGCAACCGTTCTAGACAAGACAAGTTCAGAAATTTTTCTTTCCCGTTAAAGTGCGGCTAGCCACGATTGTGGTTATTTAAGTGATTTTTAAAATTGTAATTTTAACACTTAGTATCTGTTTCAGTAATTTATGTATTGAACAACTTAATAGAACATTTTTTTCCTATTTATATATTGTTTATATGTTTGACTGAGAACACGATTAATCGTTTTATTTTTAAATTTGACTCTTTAAAATCACAAAATACTTGACTCTTTAAAATCACAAAATGCAAAGAAAACTCTTTGTTTATTCAACATGCTGTGTATTCAATAAAAACAGGCAGTTCAAAATGGCATTGAAAAACGAAAATAATACATTGCTAATTGTTTAAAAAGAGGAATCAAGATAAGTAAAATCATACGAAATACGGAAACAAATCATTTATATACACGCTTTTTTAATCATCCCCTCCCCTTATGTGAAATAATAAAAAATACTTTTTTAGGTTACCCCTCCCCATTATATGTGCACATGCCCTATGGATGTCCTAACTCCATGTTGGAGAATGGGGATATTACCAAATTAGGGATAGACTAACATTAGTAGTTGTTTTTTTTTGTATAACCCTGTATAATTTATTTATTTTATTCACAATATTTTAAGTTAAAGTTTAGACACAAGAGTATTAACTCTCTATTAAGTCATGTTCAGGAGATGTAACAATACTGGTATCTAAATTAATCAATGAGGCACAAACAGAAAGAATTTTATCACAACTTGAAAGCGTTTCATTCATTGTTTCATCTTTAATATTTTTCACTGTTCGAAAAGGCAAAATTCTCTTTAAAACTGTGTATCGGTTTTTAATCAGCCCTATAACACACTCTATATGAATACGGACATATGCAATTTTTCTTGTGTTCTCTACATCACCTGAAGATAACTAATCCTTTCCTTTAGTGAAGGCGGGTACAAAAAGTTCAGCTCCTGAACCAGCAGCAAAATCATCAGCTAAAGTAAAACCACGGTCAGCCAAAAATTGATTACCAGGCATGTGGTATTTAATCAAATGAAAGTTTGACTCTCTCACTATCTGGTTGTCTGATGCTCGACCTCCCCAACATTATGATAAAAAATTAACTGCCCCTAGTGGTGTACAAGATATCATTACTTTAATGGTACAATGTTTCTTGTATTGGCTGTAACATTTTGCTCTGGCTAATAAGCAACGTGGGATTCTATAGAAATTTCAAAGCAATCAATTATGCATGTCAGTCTAAGAAACTTTGCTTTAAAAACAGGTGGTATTGTTTTATAAATATCGTTCCGGTCTTGCATTTTTATCAAGAACTTAAGTTTTACATACATAATATCAATCCACTTCCAAAAGTAGCTAATCATTGTCGTCTTACTGTTGCTGGATATAAAAGCAAGCATATTAAAAGAAATGTTATATTTTAATTTTATTAAAGTCATCAATATTTGATCCTTTAAGGCTAATTTGTAGAAATAATTTATTTGATCTTCGCATAAATAATCCATCATCAATAACATAATTTCATATTTCAACCCTATTGGCATAACACATTTTTCAGGGTTTTTTTTGAGCATCTTAATTGTGAATGGCGCACATTTATTCTGGTTTTTAGATACGAGCTTCAGTCTTTCACATTCCGCTCTTAAATCTATCCGTTTCCTTATAAAAACTTTCTTTTTCTGATAAAGTAACTGGAGTTTGTAATGAAATTATAGATGGTGTTGCAGAAGGAAGCATACCGTTGGCTGGAAGATTTGACGAGCTTGGCAAACATAAAAAAGCTATTGGTTCATCTTTTGACTCATCTTTTGCATTAAAATCAGCTTTCAATTCAAAAATTTTTGGATCATTGATATTATTACTTTTTTACCTCTTAATAATAATACTATTAACACTTGAAAATAATATTTTTTCAATTCTTTAATTTAATAAATTAAATAAAAGTAAAACTCAATAGACAAAAAATGTTCTGAACAGACATAATAATACCGTGTTTTGGAAGACCATAATTTTGATTTGATGACTACACCATTTTTATCAACATGCGCACGATTAATTCCCTTTAACCACGTTTTTCTTCTAGTATCTTCATATGGAAGAATGTAAAATCTTAAATTTGGTTGACTCTGTAAATTATAAAACGAGAAAACACAGAGTAACTTCTAGGTATTATTAGTTATATAAACATATATGTTTTGCTGATTTGATAATATTATTTGTTTTCGCGATATTTGTGACGTAGGTCCGACCCGAAGGATATATATATATATATATATATATATATATATATATATATATATATATATATATATATATATATATATGTATATATATATATATATATATATATATATATATATATATATATATATATATGTATATATATATATATATATATATATATATATATATATATATATATATATATATATATATATATATATATATATATATATATATATATATATATATATATATATATATATATATATATAATTAACAACATAATTAACATAATTAACAACAAATACAAAATTAATAAACCATTTATTATTATAAAAAAGGAATTTGAAAATGAGTAAAGTTATTTAAATAAAATATGTTCAAAATGTCGCAAAGCAAAATCATCACGAAATTGGAAATTGTTTTCAGCTACTATATCTTCATTTTCATTTTCAGCATTTTCAATTGGATTTTCATCCATGTCATTTAACTGTCTTGCTAAATTGTGCAATACTGCGCACGCAGCAACTAAGGTACAGGTTCTTTCAGTGTCATTCGAATTTCACTATGAAACAAATGAAAGCGTCTTTTCCACCTTCCAAACACTTGTTCAATTATAACTCTTGTTTTTCTTAAAGAAATATTATATCTATGCTGAGATGCTGTAGTTGGATTTAAATAGGGCGTCAGCAACCAACGAAAACACGGATAGCCGGAATCACCAATAAGTAAGCCTTTAAAAGTTCCATCCATAAATTTCTTACCAAGTTTTGACTCTCTTAAAATCCTTGCATCATGTGTTCTCCCAATCCATTTTGCAACAACATCAATGAACTTTCCTTTGTTGTCACACACCGCTTGGACATTGATTGAATGATTTGATGACCTATCAACATAAGCATATTCGTGCTCGTGTGGTTTCAGTATGCAAATATGCGTGCAATCTATTTCGTCAGAAACAAAGAAAAAAAGAACTCCGGGTCTACACCTGTAAACTGTAGATATGGAGAGTTACATTTCAGAGGAGAAGTTAAAACTTAAGGAAGAAGTTTTAAAGTTACAAGCTGAAAGAGATTATTTCATTTCTAAAAAAGAGTTAGTCGACTTGGAAAAAAGAAATGCATCTAGAAAAGAAAAAATACTTTTATTGAAGGAAAGCTATTTAAAAAAAAAGAACG